CAGACGGATTCACACCGAGGCAGACGGATTCACACCGAGGCAGACGGATTCACACCGAGGCAGACGGATTCACACCGAGGCAGACGGATTCACACCGAGGCAGACGGATTCACACCGAGGCAGACGGATTCACACCGAGGCAGACGGATTCACACTGAGGCTAATCCACCCGTCAGGATTAAAACCTGATTCAATTCTTTAACAAATGGTCAACACGACCACAGACACGGAGCCACGGTGACAAATGATTCACGTCACTTTCACACCACGCCGTCTGAAGAACTCACGTTAAATTTCACCGTCGTTCCTGGCTGTTGTGTGGCGGAGAACCCGGCGCTTCCAAACAGGGAGGTGGTCCCACCAAATGGGTTGGAGGTGGTGTTAGTTGACCCGAACAGGCCGCTGCCACTGCTGGTGCTGGTGCCGAAGCCTGGAGGACACACAAGGACAAAGGTGTAGAGTGAGGCTGTCGGCAGTGACTCGACACCACCTGCAGCTCCGAGTCAGAACCACAGAACCCTGAACGCGTTCTAAGATCTAAGTGCGACGGTGGGAGGGTCTCACTTCCAAAGGTTGTGGGTTTGGTGGCTCCAAAGGCGTTGGTGGGCTGGGAGAAGAGCCCCCCGCTGGTGCCTGTTGCCGTGTTTCCAAACAGACTGGTGGATGTGCCGCTGGTCGCACCAAAACCAAAGCCCGTGCTGGTGGAGGAGGTGGCCGGCTGGCTGAAGGTGCTGGAGCCAAACAGGCCTCCTGAAGGAAACCACCGGAAGATGAACTGAGTTCACACAGCATTCATTACAATATCTGGAGAACCCAAGACTGGAGGTCAAAGGTCATACGAGAATAGGATACATATATACACACACACACACACACAAGAATAGGATATATATATACACACACACACACCAATAGGATACATATATACACACACACCAGGTTTGTTCTGTGTAGAACCAAACAGTCCTCCTGTGTTAGTAGTCGTCCCAAACGCAGACGTCCCAAAGCCCGCGGCGGTTCCAAAGGCCGTGTCTGTGGATGAAACGTTTTACACAACACTGAAGACCAAAAACACCGGCGGCATCTTTGGAGTTCACGGAGTCCAGCGATCCATAAGCATGAAATGAACCAAAGAAATAAAACTTACTCTGTTGTCCAAAGGTGGTGTTGCCAAACCCACCTGTCCCCCCCCCGAAGGGCGTCCCAAACGACTTGTTGAACATGTCGCCCTGCTAACAGGACTGTGAAGGTTTTCTGCCTAAAGACAAACAAACAAACAAAAAATTAAAAATCAGAACGACCCAGATCAGGTTCGCGGCTCAGAACACATTCTTGTTTTTTAAAAAGTGAGTCCAAACAGAAGAAGAAGAAGAAGCTGTGGTGACAAGATCTGGTCAAAACCCAGCCTGAGGTTCCAGCTTTCACCGAAACTAGTGTGAACACAACTGACATGAGAACAACAGACAGACAGTCAGTCAGTTAATCAGACAGACAGTTAGTCAGACAGTCAGTTAATCAGACAGACAGTTAGTCAGTCAGTCTAATCAGACAGACAGACAGTTAGTCAGTCAGTCAGTCAGTCAGACAGTCAGACAAACAGACAACATCATGTGTACGTGTTAGTCCTAACCGATAGAAAACAAAACGCTATAAACTCCGTTGTAAATTCTAGCTGCGGCTCCAGTTCTTCCCGGCTCCACGTGCCGCCGTTCCCCCGGCTGCCTCGTCTCCTTTGTCCGTCAAACCCTGACATTCAACGCGATACATCTGTATCCACGAGTGTCCGAGCTCAACCGTAGCTGAGACGGTGACCTGAGACCGGAGCGGAACCCAGAACACGGGGCGATGAAAACACGTCCTAGCATCGAGTGCAGGTTAGCTCTGCGGCTAATCTCAACGGATCGTAATTAACAGAGTTCGGGTCAAACACACACACACACACGCGCGCGCGCAGAAAATAAACACAAAGTTAATCTAGTCCCAGTGTTAGCGCCGCACCGAGGCTCAAACACACTCTCCGTGTTCAACAGTTCCATCCTGTCACTGCTAGCGTTAGCTGCTTAGCATTGGTCGTTAGCCGCTTAGCATCGCTGCTACATTATAGCAAAACAGCAGCGACAGAAAGATGAAAAGGTAGAACAATCACCTTCTGGTGCGTTGGTTGTTCTTCGGTCCAAACTTATGAAAAGTCAGAGTCCAAACCCGATCAGGAAATAAAAAGTTTTGTTCTACTGAAACGCATAAACCTGTACGAAGACTGAACTTCGTGACGAGGAGGGAAAACTGACGCAGGACGCACTTTCTTACGTCTTACGTCAGGGGTTCAAATATTCCTCGATGGAGACGTCGTTACTCACCGCAGCTAGACGCACTTCACTGCCGCCTATTGGTGGTAAAATGAAGTGTCCTAAATAGTGTACGGATATGATTTGGTTTAGTGAATAGATACGATCATTTAAAATGAACAGACAATTGTAAGCCAGGAAACAGTGAACCGGAAGAGTATCGGTGCTTGAAACTGCTAAAAGAAAACCTGAAAAAAATCATTATCTTTATATTATTATACCTTTCCACAAAATAACTCTAGGTTAACCAAAAAATACAGAAAGAAAAAAATAATTCAGTCATCAAAGTAAATATATTTGTCAAATTTAAATATGAAAAGATGAAATGCCACGTAACAATGATTGTCACAACTGTTCAGATTATTTATTTTATTGATTTTTTCATATACAATATAAGTATTTATAGAGTTTAACATTATTTGGTTCAACTTTTTTTTACATCATCAGAAGGGAATGAACACCTGATGAACAGAAACATTTACTCTTCAACTGCATAAAAATACATCATCTTATTCCTCTCATGAAGAGAATTTGTCCAAAACATTTTACAGAAAATAAACATATTTACACTTTAAAACACTTGTGTGAACACTTGAACTGATGTGCTTGTTTGTTTGTTTTTGTGGAAAATGTCCCTTTATTTGTTGAATAAAACGTCAGCAGCCCTTTTATTTAAAGAAAATTGCAGTTCACTCTGCTAGAACGGTGTCGTTTTTTATCTTTTCACCTGTCGTAAATGTTAGTTTGTCACAAAATCCCACAGAAATAATTATATTGAATCAACAAAGTGCAAATTAACAATGAAAGGAAACAGTGAAGCATGAAGACTTTATCTTACACATGAATGACACGAGGCTAGCTTAGGAATGAACCACATCGAGTTGTTTACAGTAAACTGTCGCCGACTGAGACTCTGACGTCACTTCATAGTTAACCCTCTGAAAAAATAACGTCATTCAACAAGAGTGAAACTTTAACACTGAACAACCGTGGACTGTTGGTTTACAAATGTTCACGTCTTTAAATTAAAACAAAGAGGAAACACTGCGCCCCCATGCTGCAGGTCCTGGTCACTACAGTGTGAGAAGAGAGAAGGTGAAATGTACAACAGAAATATTCCTTCATGTTAAAATGAAAATAATTGAAGTAACAGCTGCGATCCAACTGCAGTGACACAGCATTTCTGTACAAGGCTAACATGCTAACATACGTCAAACCCACGTCAGCACAAAAGGTTGCATAGTTGGTGACGGAAGATAAAGCAGAAATGTTGAGAATCAGTAATATCCAAATAGACAGAAAACAACCTTGTCCTTTAGCTTCAGCGACAGGCTAGTTGTTGAAAACACTGTTTCGTTGTTGTTAGTGAACATTTTTTCCTTGTTTTGAACTCAATAAGAGTTAGAAATCGTAAACGTAGCTTCTATATTTAAGTTTTGCGCAACAAAAACAACTTGTCTGACTCTAAGTGGCAGAAAACTGACTAAATAAACCGTGACGTCATAAAATGTACTTTCCTTTCACCGATAACGAAAACTCAGAACGTTAGCTTTTTTTGCTGAAAGACAAAGCGTCTGACCATGAACTGTACAAGCAGAGAAATCCTTCGTCGATATATCGAATACTTCACCAATATATGATCGAACTGAGGCTAAAATGGCGTGTTCTAATCCCAGCATCGCTGCACTGTAGCGCCCTCTAGTGAAACCCGAAGAATCCGAGTTTTTAAAAATCTATTTTGAATGTATGCTCCGTGTGTGTGTGTAGTTTCAGAGTTGACCGTAAGAGCCCGCTGTGGTACTTTGTTGAACACCGTGGTTCTGTCTGACAAAGTTCTACGTTCTCTTCTTCCGAACAAATGGTTTTGTTTTGTTTTTCTTTTTTTGAACGATCAATTGTACTATTTCAAAGCTAACATTTTGGTGAAGGGATACGAGTTGGTTTTTACCTCAGATCGACGGCAGGTGTCGCACTCGGACCGTAATTTCTGCACCATTCTTAGAAGCCAGTGAGGAATTAAAATATTTGATATAATGTTGTGTAACAGAGCTCACTTTAGTCTGACGGTTAAGTGCAAATTAATTTCAAATACATTTAAAATGATTTTGTCTTTGTGAGAAAAAAATAAATGTATACAACTATTTACAAGACGGTGTCACAGTTGACAGGTCATGTGACAGGTCATGTGATCTGTAAAGAAGCAGGACACTCTACGAACAGAGTGTGGACGCGGCGTTAGCGTTAACGCCTCATGGCAACGTGACGACGACGACGACGACGTTTCAGGCACAAGGATGGGAAAAATACAAAAGTGTACAAAGAAGTGCAAACACTGGAAAAACTGAAGCTAACTGTCATCACCGATGACGCTCACTAGTTGGCGCTGTGAAGCTGTGATTGAACTGTTTAAATGAGGATTAACGGTTCCAGAGGATCAGGTGGAACACCGAGCTTCAGGACGTCCTTCATAAAGTCTTTCAAATGACCACGAACTTCGTTACAATCGCTGAGGTCGAGTGAGACGTGTGACCAGAACAGCTCATTCTGATTGGTCCTCAGCTCATCGTCTCTTTGTTGTTGTTTTTTTACATTCTTGTAGTGACACACTGAAGTGTGGCTCAACATCTGGATCATTTTGGATGAAGCTCGTTGACACTAATGCTAACCTTCGATCGCTAAAGACAAAAATATCTGAAGAGAGACTTTTTACATTTGACGCTCAACATCTTTGGTTTCCATGAACTCGCTGCAGCCAATCACCATTTAGATGGTTCCAGAGTCTGGACTGTTTGGAAGCCCTGGTACTGTTTCTTCACATGGTAATCTGATGGGGATCCACCTGGTCTCCTGCTGGTACCAGTCTCTGGTCTGGGCAGGAATGGACCAGAGGGTGTGAGGAACCGACCCCAGAGACGTGGAACTGTTGGAACCGTTTCATCTCCAAAGAAAACCACTGACTGATGAAGACTCCAGGATGTCCAAGGAATTCTGGGAACGTTGAGTTCCACAGAGTCCGTCCACCATGTCCACCTGAAGACCTCCTCAGCCGAGCTGGACGGAAGGGTTTGGACGTCCCTGCTGGACACTGGACCCTGGGCTGACGATGGTGATGAAGGTGATGAAGGTGACGATGGTGATGATGGTTCCACACACAGCAGAACTTCTTCACCAACCAGAGGAACTTCCTGGAATGATCTCTAGAGGGCTCCAACTCCAGCTGAAGAACTGAGTTCTGTGAGGATTGTTCCTGGTCCTCAGCAGTTGAAGAGTGGCTTTGACAGCTGGTACTGCTGGTACAGCTGGTACAGTTACTACCACAGCTGGTACTGCTGGTACAATTACTGGTACAATTACTGGTACAGTTACTGGTACAGTTAATGGTACAATTACTGGTACAGTTCCACTTCACTGCAGTACCACTGTGTACAAGTATTTTACTCTTTCTTTTTCAAGTACTAACAGCAGATATTACTTAATTAATTCATTAATTATCTCTGAGGTTCTTCACTCAATGGCTCCAAACACATGATGTCGAGCAGCGCCCCCCAGCGGCTGTTTGAAGACTTTTTTATCAGTATTCTGGTTCCCAACACTTGAAAAAGAAAAAAACAGCAGAGCACCTGCACCGCAGAACTCGGTTCTCAGGTCGTTCTCAGGTCGTTCCCAGGTCCGACTGTCGGTCCTCGATGCTGTGGTCCTGTTTCTACAGCCTGACCTCAGCTGCTCTGGTCACAGCTGCTCTGATCTGATCTCCAGCACGACTGTGACCAGGCTGAGGAACCCAACATGTTCCTCTGGTTTCCACGGAGGAACGTGCGGTGGAACATTCAACAAACTGTCCTCCGAGTCAGAGTTTTCCACAAAGGTTTGTCTGGACCAATCAGAGACTCAGATGTTCCTCTGTTCATCCTGGACCACAGACAGTTGTCCAAACATTTGAACCTTCTGGTCAGAAAAACCAAATCCAAATCCTTTGGTTCAGACACGACCAGCGTGGCATCGAACCTCAGACCGCAGTCGTCCTGCTCCGTGCCACTCCACTGCTGACTCAGACTGGACCAGCCAATCTGAAGGCGGGGCCTACAGAGAAACTGGAATTTAGGGGCA